AAGTTAGACCTTACATCAATAACTTGAAGTTTTGTGAGTATTAAGGAAGTACATTGTTAAAGTCTGTTCCTTTCTAGAGATCTTAATGTCAGTCTGGGTTTCAAGAGCAGAATCTGGGCAATCCGTATTTACTTATGCTGAAACTTCACCTCAATGGTCTGTTTTTACAGCAGTACAATACTGTTTCCTATATTCTCCTCCCATGAATGTAGTAACACAGTGTAGAAGGAGAAGATCTGCTTGGTTTGATATCTCTTCTGAGTCATAAGTCTTCTCTACTTTGCCCCATAACAGTTTTATTTCTGGCTGTACATGCTTGTTACACGTGACTGCAATTTTGCCCTCATTCTTATCGTTCTTTTGAATACCTGGAAAACTAGGATTAGATATAAGCTTTTTATGAATCACTTGCTCATGAGATGGGAACAAATCCATCATGTACCCTTTTCAGGAATCTAATAACCTGATAAGAGTCTTCTGGGTAAACTCTGTCTCAAAGGTGCTACATGTCTTGCTTGAGTTTTCTCTTCCTGGCTCACGTGGCCTGTCTTGTTTGTACCACGTGCTGCACTCTGAGACTGCATTGGAGTAACTCAAGCTTATTTGTAGCTTTCTTACCTTCTGTTTGCGCTTCAGCAAAGAGTTTATTTGTTCCCAAGGCTAGAAAGACTTGGATTCAAACTAGGTCTCTGATTGTGGGCAGTATAAATGCAATTTCCAGAAATGTTTTCAGAATTCAGTTTTAGCTGTGTCACCTCACCTGAAAGTGTGTATTACAATGTGTTAAGTACACAAAACAGTAATTAAATATTTACAGATTACAGGAGTATCAGAATCCTGCTGCTGGATTTTTTTTTAATTGCATTGTGTTCTTGACTTCTATTACCTCTTTGTGTTTGATTTATTCCCAGAATTTTCTGCCTGCTGTACGTTACATTCTGTAGGTTGTTCCACCTTCTTCCACACGGCCCTGAGAGTTTACTGATTCTTGTCCACGCTTTTAGAGTCTATTCTTTGTTTAAGCTGCTCAACCGATGCTTTTGTTATAGACTGTTTTGCTCTGCTCCATCTCAGGTTATGTTTTGGGCAAGACCCTCTAAGCTGATTCTTTAAATGCTACAGTAAAGGCATTCTGAATAAAAGAATGAAGAGACTATTATGTTCTTTTACTGGTAGAAAACACTGGATGTTTTCTTGTGATGGAACATGGAAATCGTCTACTCTGAATGTTATTAGAAAAGTAAGCAAACCCTTCTGCTTTTTTAAGAAGGAATAACTAAAATCTTCCTGGCTATAAATAATTGGTTGTAGCAGCATGTTACGAATAGATGCTAATAAGCAGAGTTCCTAAATTATCAGTTGAGGGAGTCCAATTTCCTTGTTGCAGATTTCTTTTTATTAGCACTAATAAGACTTGTTTTAAGGGGATAATAGACCTGTGAAAGAAGCTGTGCAGTGCCCAGCAAATTTCTGATCAACATCATAACAACTCAAATTCTTACTGTATCTGTGCATCAGCACTACTAACATCTGTTGGGGATTTTTTGGTAATATTAGTGTTTCTGATGTCTTTAGGTCCATGTCTTTTTTTTCATAGAGCAATTTTTCTTACAAGTCATACTTGGAAGAACTATATTTAAGTACTACTTGTTCAATTAGGTAGCACTGCTCAAACCAGGTATCTATGGTGCCAAATGGAACAGTTTTCTTGATGAACATTGTAACATTTAGTTGCTATGAAGACTTTAAGATTTTTCATTTCTTGTCTCCTGAGTTATTAAAATAATAATCATAAAATGTGCCCATAAATTGTGAAGTCTTAATTTTAGAGTCAGTCAAGGAGGCTTTGTAAGCAGGTTTATATGAATTTGTGGTTTCAGTGTCTGGATGAAAGTTCTGTAGTTTGCTGAACCTACTTCTGCAAGATTGAGTGTTTGTAACTGTTCAAGAAAATGGAGTACCTTCCTATGTTCTGCTATTCTGCATCTTTTCTCAGGAACTTGAGCTATTTCTTATTTGTGATGACAACTAAAGCTTCCCCAGTCTTTTTCTGGATTTATTGGTGAATCTGTTCACCTCATCACATAGGAGTGTTGAGGAAAACAAGGTGTAATAGCTGAACCACATTTTTATTGTAAAAGCATTTTCTATTGTAAAAGTCTTGTCTTTTCTAAATAGGGAGATCTTGCCTAAGTTCAGAATTTGTTTCTTTAGTAATTCAAAAACAATTGTTCCTTATGGTTGATTTCCCTAAACCCCTGAGGTTTGGAAATAAGCTGTCACTTGTGTTTGAGTGGTACTACTTTACCTTTCAAAATAAAGGCCATCTCTTGAAGAGGAGGGAAGAAAGAGCCAAAGTTTCTGAACTGAGTTTTGCTTTAAAAAAAAAATAAACAAAACCAAACATAAAAACTAAACTAAAAAACTCCCAAAATTCATAATAAAAAAAGTCAGCACCCCAACTGTCCAAGGTTCTAAGGAATGATGATGTCTGTACAGAAGTTGCTTGTTGTTGCCATGTGTTTTTAGTAAAAATACTTTAAACTATTAAGGTTCAATATCAGGTCTGAAATGCAGCAGATCACTGCATTTTTCTGTATTTTTGTTCTGGGCCTCACTCAGGGCTTGAGGGAGAAGCCATATTGGAGGATACCTCGATGGGCATCAGGAAATAAGGAATTCAACCTGTTGTCATTGAAAACTTGGTATTACAATGCTGATTAATAGGTTTCATTTTTTTAATTACAATTAAGAATTAAAAAACCCTCTAGCATGGTGTTGCCTTGAAATTAAAGCTGCTTGTAGCTTCATGGACCTGCGTAGTTTGAAAAAGTTCTAATAGTGGTCTCTTGGCATATACCAGAAGTGACAACTAAGTGAGAATTAATGATGAAAGCACTCCCTAAAGAAAGGTGTTAAAACTTGCAGGACAAAGGGAAAATGTTTCTGTCTAGCTGTGTATTTTAACCAAGTTGAAGCTAATTCTTGCTGTGCACGTTTTACTGTATGGTCCTGAATGGCTGTTTTAGGTTTTGCGGGAGGGTTTATTCTTTCTGAATTAAGTTTTAATTAGGGTTTTGAGGGCAACAGAGTAGTAGAGATATGACCTTAGTATAAATTACAGTTGCTGTGAGAACCTTGACTTAAAATTCTTTGCTACTGAAGACTGCATGTGACTTTGAGAAGGAATGAAAGCATTGGTGTTCTTGCTTGTGGTGTTGTGAGAATATTAATTGTCATTCAGTCACTTATGTAGCAGCTGAAGATAATATGGTTAGTGCTCATCTAGCAAGTCCTTAAGCATTCAGGCCGAGTTGACAGAGTGCAAAGAGTTTGAAAGTAGCCAACATCTGTTTTCTACTGTCCCAGATTGTGGGAGGAGGTTAAGAACTGCTGTGTTACCCTTGCAGGCATTGAGTGATGTCAAATGCCTGACTACATGGGGATACAAGGAGCCCAGTCAGTAGCTCAGGATCTAGTCTGATTGCCAGGCAGCTTCTGCAGGAGTTCAGCCTGTCTAATGACTATTTTAGGTGTTATCATCAAATGTGAAAGAAGTGGCAGTTAAAGAGTGGGAGAGTTTTTTTTTTTTTTGGTCCACCCCCTCCTTTCCCTATCTGGGAATGTGAGGTTTCCATACCTCCATCATTATTTGAAAGGCAGTGAGTAGGTTGTCATTAGATGTAAACATAATGCTCAAATATTGCTCTTATTTTTGTAGCAAGTCACTTGCTTTGTCTTCAGTATGTTCAGGCATCTGTGACAAGACTGGTCAAAGTCTAGTAAAGTGCAGGACTTCAAATTGCATTTATGTACATCCTAATGCTAAGGACTTAAAATGCTTTTTAAACCTTTTAAATGGTGCATACCAGTTATGAAGTAAAATGGGAAGACAGTGGGTCTTGTCAACAGCTTTTAAATTTGGAATTGTACTTAAGGCTAAGGTCTTGAATTTCAAGTACAGTCTCAAAATTGTAGTGGAGCCAAAGTGACTTCAGGAATTGTTTGCAATCAGTAAAACCTGAAGCTGGTGGGAAGGTGAAAAACACTGAACTTGAACTGTTTCTTACCTGAATTTTGTTTTTTAAAAGGACTAGTTTAGAACTCCAGAAGTATCTTTTTTACTAGTTGTGCACTGATTGACAGATACTGAAATTCTGAAGTGCATCATATTTGTCTTGTTTTTGTGCTCCCTGTATTGATGGCTGTTTTCATATTGGTTTAGACATGGTGCTTTGTTGGGCTTTGATTTCAGCCATCTTAAACCCTCAGTTTCATAGCATTATTCATGTTGAAAAGATCTCTAAGATCAAGTTCAACCGTTAACACAGCACTGCCAAGTCCATCACTAAACCATGTCCCCAAGTGCCACATCCACAGGCCTTCTGAACACTTCCAGGGATGGTGATTCCACCACTTCCCCAGGCAGCCTATTTCAATGCTTGAGAACCCTTTTGGTGAAGAAATTTTTCCTAATATCCAATCTAAACCTCCCCCGGTGCAACTTGAGGCCATTTCTTCTTGTCTTACCGCTTGTTACCTGGGATAAGAGGCTGATTCCCATCTCACTACAACCGTCTTCCAGGTAGTTGTAGAGAGTAATAAGGTCCCCCTGAGACTCCTTTTCTCTGGACTAAACAACTCCCTTGGGTGCTACTCGTAAGATTGGTGCTCTAGACCTTCCTCAGCTTCCTTGCTCTTTTCTGGACATGGTCCTTTAGAGTGGTTATGTGGAAACTCATTTTACAACATTGCCATTTACATGTAGCATTTCTGTAGTTCACTGTAGTGTGTTTTCAGATTGTCCTCTTCTGTTTCCATCTATTACTGATAAAAATCCCTGCAATTTTCACAATATTCCTCTGTCTTAAAGATTTCTTTTGTTAATGCTCAATCTAGTAAACATTGGTGTTTGGGGAACTAAAGAGTAACCCAGCATTCTCCCCCTGCACATTGAAAACACAGACCTAAGTTGCTTATGCATTATTTTTACTTTTCAGCTGTTCACTGATGGAATCACCAATAAATTAATTGGCTGCTACGTTGGTGACATAACAGATGATGTCGTTCTAGTTCGGATCTATGGAAATAAGACCGAGCTCTTGGTGGATCGAGATGAGGAAGTGAAGAGTTTCCGCGTGTTGCAGGCCCATGGCTGTGCACCCCAACTGTACTGTACTTTCAATAATGGCCTGTGCTACGAGTTCATGCAGGGAGAAGCACTGGACCCAGAGCATGTGTGCAATCCAGATATTTTCAGGTAAGCTTTTAAAATTATTATTGTTGTTTTTTTTTTAAATATCAGAATTTCATTATGCATTTATGGAGTTCCATCAGGCCTAAAGCATCTCCAGCACAGTTTATGAGCAGGCAAAAAATAAATACTTCTATAAACCTGCACGAAGTCGATGTTCACACTCTTGACAGCTCGCTGCGCTCTTAGTTATAGTATTTCAGTGCTGAACAAGAGATCCTTGCTGCCTCCACAGAACACTGTGTACTCATTAGAGATGTTTATTATGAGTATTTAAAACGTTCGTTACCATTAGAGAGGTCATTTAACAAGATGGAGTTTTAGGGGGCTGGACTTTGTTAAGGCAAGTACTTTCAGCTCTGTTTCCAATACATTCCTTTTGTGAATAGATCCAAGAGTCTTCCATTGGGACATAATTTTTTAAACTATTAGCAGTGAACAGAAAGTGCCAATGTATTAAGGTTTTAGTTTTTCATGTGTGCACTGAAATGTATTTGCCTAACAAGGGCAGCTAATTTGAATCAATTCTTCTAAAGGTAAGTAAGAATAGATTGTAAATACAGAAGTATGTGTGCTGTAATGGAATTCCAGTCCTTCCCCTCCCACAGGTAGTGTTGCTAATGACCTTTTGAATCTAGAAAGATGCTCCCCTATGACTGTGTTACTCTTATTTACACCCTTTTTGAATTCCTGTGCTGCATTTTTTAGAATTTTTCAATGACATATATTGTTGTTGTATTGTTAGGAAAAATACGGTAGTCTGTCAGGTATACATTGACTATAACATTAATTTAACTTCTGTTTTTCAGACTCATTGCTAGACAGCTTGCTAAAATCCATACTATTCATGCACACAATGGGTGGATCCCTAAATCTAATCTATGGCTGAAGATGGGGAAGTACTTCTCTCTCATACCCACAGAATTTGCAGATGAGGAAGTAAATAAAAGGTGGGTATTTCACTATGTTCTTTCCTGACTTTTCAATCCTTCTGGTTAAGGGGTAGATGAATATTTAAGAAAAAGACTTAACCTTGTAAAATTCTGTGTTTTGTTGTATCTTGTATATTGAAGTAGCTGTATATATGTCAAATATGATGAAGGTTTTTAACTAATTTGGTACATTGTGTATATATACATATAGCTCTTAATCTGATTGTATACTTGAATAGTGGTAGTTTCCTTTGCTCTTTTCAAGGAACCAAGGTCAACTCACCTACTTCTTCAGGTAGCCTTTAAGAGAACCATGAATTTCAAACTGAGACCTGTGTTCTGGAATGAACACTAAAAACCTGTTTCCTGGGGTTGCAGGAGTACTGCTGCTTGTTCATTTTAATCCCCACCTCTTCCCTGTTTTGTATGTGTTCAGCTTATAAGTCTATTCCAAAACTTTGTAACATAACACTAAAACTAGTTTAAGGTTAGTTTGGGTGACAGTGGAGGAAAAGGTATCCACAAGTCACTCAAGACTTTTACTATCATGGACTATGAATAGTTGTATAACTTGGGTCTAAGGGTTTAATTACATTTTAATTTTAGCATCTTAATATAGTTGTTGAGTTGTAAATCAAACTGTGGGTGTTAGGAGCTTCACAAAAAGGGAAAATATTTCCAAAGGCTTTTGCTGTCAGTCACTGAGAGATTGGGATGAGAGGAATGGCAAAACCAGGAGCAATGTTTAACCTAAATAAAATTTCTTGCTGTAATCTAAAGCTTGAGCTGAAGACAATGTTTCTCAGAGAGTGGAGATCCAACTTTTAAGCTAAAACTAATTTGAAAGTGTTTGCACACTGCCAAACTTCATATCACTCAGGAAGAAGATTCCAGCTTAAAAACATTCTTCATGTAACTTTGAAATCACTGATACCAGCTGCCCTTCTTGCTGCATTGTAATTAAAGAATGCTTTTTAGCAAAGTTGCTTTTCTTTTACAACATAAAGTTCTTAAGAAAACTGAGAAAACATGAGGAATTAATGGAAAATCTAAAAGATAAAATGGCTACTTAAGTATATTTACTGAGACTAGACTGAAAATTGATGTTAATTTTCTCTGTGTAGATATGTAGTACCTAGTACTTACTGTTGTATATTCCTCTTGGAGGAAATAATGTAACATAAGCAAAAAGTGAATGAAATTCCTGCAATAACACACTTAATCTTTGCTCCTTTAACATGTGCAGGACTGTATTCGAGTTTTACTCCTGATTTTTGGACTGCTATCATGTTTACAGCACAGATAATCTCCATAGAATTTTTTTCTGGGGAGGACAGAGGGAAATAATTGTCATCATTTGACTGCTAAGGCAGTGATTGCCCTGATTTGAGAGAGGGTCTATTGCACTATTTGCAAGAAGAATGCTTGATGCTTGATACGGAACACACAGTACTAACTCTTAATCTTCTTATACATAAAAAGGTTTTTAAGTGACATTCCAAGTCCTCAAGTTCTTCAGGAAGAGATGGCCTGGATGAAGGAAAGACTGTCAAATTTAGGATCACCAGTGGTACTCTGTCACAATGACCTGTTGTGTAAGAATATTATTTACAACAAGAAACGAGGTAGGACTTGAACTGAACAGTGAGTAGTGAGTTGGCTTTGTGCTGTAATTGCATGTGCTGCATCAGTGGTGTTGTTTTACTGACTTGTTCAGGTGAACCTAGTTTGAGCTTTTAAGAGCCAGTGCAATGGTAGTGATACCTGTGCAAAGACTTAAGTTGCTTAATTAGTCTAATTCTGATCTGTATATTACTGTACAGAGGAAGCAAGTCAGTGGTTTTTTGCTTTTCTTTAATGAACTAATGATTTTGTTAATCCCCCGCTTGTCTGTATGACTAGGCTTCAAAATATGTAACTGTTGATTTTAATTCTACTCTGGTTGTATAAGGGTTTTAGGAAGAAAAGAAAATCATGCAAGTATAGAAAATAACATGAAGATTGTCTCCTGTAATATGTATTTTGTTCCGGATTGTGATTGTGGGAATACCCTTTCATCATGCAGTATATTAGTGATATTTAATATTACATTCAGTAGCTCAATTTATTTTCTGCAGTAGGTACATAGACATCTTAAATTTCTCTCATAAGTACATCCTTTATTTAAACAGTTGTAGGCAGTACACGTCTTGGCAGAGATAAATTACTTTTTTGATTATCTTATAATACATTTAACTCATAATTCGTGTTATTAAAATGTATAAAGCTTCTGTTTTAAACCCACAGTTTATTGATTTTAGTGGTTTGAGGTTCAGTTACTAGGTGAATCAATTAGATATTAAAACAAACAAGGCAAACTTGTCACACTGAAATGGCCATTGTGCAGTAAAAATGCACAATTTTCCTCCCTTTTCAAATAGCTTAGCTTGGCTGAGTGCAACCAACTAATCAGATTATAAGTTTTCTTTTGAAGTGAGGGGGACATATTCCTTTTAGTAGCTGTGTATTTGTTTGTGCCAGTTGGGTAAGATTGTTGATATGTAAGCCCAAAGTGTTGAAGTGAATAACTGAAAGGAACTGAAACCTTCTCCATGAGTTATTATTGGTCTTTGACCTATTAAACTTACCTGCCTTAAGTTCTGAAGAAAAACTAATAAAAGCAAGCTGGAGTTGGTTCTAGTATGAAAACTGGCCAAGTATTTTTAACACATTCTGCATCATTTATGCATTGGATGCATGTGAATTGAGGAAATGAACTTTTCAGGTGGTTTGTATACAAGTTTCCCTCTGAGTAATACCACTTATGAAGGGGGTTGCTAGTACTTTTAGTTATATTGGTATATACATATATATACATATAATACCTTTATAATGCTATTAACATAAATTTTAAATTCTAAGAATTCAGTATGAAGCTTCAGTGATTTTACTCAGTTTCAATGATAGGTTATAGCTCTGCTTAAAAAGAGGAGAGGGAAAAGCATGGAAGGTGTACAAAAAAAATTGACTTGTGGTCTTACATACATTGTTGTGATACTGTAGTACCAAAAATAAATCTATTTTTACTGTGTGGGTTGTTTTATTGCTGAAACTACCTTGAGGTTTAGCATTCCAGAACAGATTTCTTGAGGTAAAAGTAATTTTTATAGTTGCTTTTTGTAGCAGAACCAAACAACAAAAAAGACAAAAATCCGAGGAATTCCTTTAAAAGGTTTGCTGTCGTGGTCAATAGGCGTTAAGTTCCTAATTGAAAAACAAATGCTATATGCTTTTCTTTTTGTAAACAGAATGGAGGAAAAAACAATGCCAGCAGTGCATCACTTGTGAGCAATCCTACAGTAACAAGTGTGTGAGTGTTTAGAGTTTGGGGACAAGGTGGGGAGGAGGGAGGCGTGTAAACTACTTTGGCTTCAAGCAAGCTGTAAACAGCTGTGGGGGGAAGACTTGGAAATATGAAATAAATATATTTTTAAACTTACATTTGAATGTTGCACATGTAGTGTTGTAAAACTTGTGCAATCTGGGTACAACAGGTACCATTTTCATATTAACCAAACCTCAGTACCATCTGTAGAAAGAATGTTTGTCATTTGAAAGCTGTTTCGTATAGTACACTTTTTACAGAGCAGAAAGTGGGAGCTGAGTTTTAACTGCAAAGAAATATGTTTGTGTTGCTTGAATTCTGTTTAGCCAAGCAAAACCTTTTATTGGTATCCAAATAATTTTGCAAAAGCACAAAATAGAATCGTTAAAGATGTGCTTCACATTAAATGGCATCAAACTGTATGAAAGTAGTTAACAGCTTTGGTGATGCTGTACTCTGATTAATTTACTCTTCCATCTAGAAAGGCTTCTGTGAATCCAAAAGACCTTGGTGATCCTAAGCTGGAAATAAGAGAGAGAACTGAACTTCTGTATTAACTACTTTTTTTTTTCTTTACTCCTCAGTAAAATTTGTGCAAAGCTGGTAGCATTGTCTGGCTTTTCAGAAGCTGGCATTAACAAAAACTATTTGTTTTAGCAACACTGCATTTATCATTTTGTTTGTGAATGCTTAATTTGCCCATTTACTGGGCATGGGGGATGTTTATGTGTTTAAGCTACAGACTATTAACAGATATTAAGACTCATGTCTAATGCAGTTACAAAGAATATGGCTTGTCCCAGGGCTTTGCTTTAGGCTTGTCCTCTGCCTTAACTTCACGTTAAGTTTTCTGACTTGAAAGAAAAATCAGTTGTGCCACATACTGCTTTTAAGAGGAATCAGTCTCCTGTCCTTACATTTTATTTATGAGACTGGAATAGCATGTTGAGTGCTAACTTCATTTAATGGAGTTTCACTCATCTGATTTGAATTTGTTCCTGCTGTGGCTGAGAGAATCCTGCCTCTTGCTGTTTTTTTAATGTCCGCTCTCAATCACTCAGGATATGAAATATCTGCAAGTGTTACTTTATATAACTTATAATTATCACTGTTGTCTACTCTTTGAAGGATATAGCTGGGAGCTTCATATTGCTTTTAATTACAATTTTGACATCAAGAATACTAAAAATATGCTTGATACTTATTTATAGACCTTGTGTTCTGATGCTCCTAAATTTTTTTTTTTTTTTTAACGTGACCTGGGAATTTCCAAAAATACCTGATGTTTTAAGAGTATTCAAATACTTGCTATTCAACAAGACCATGTATCAGTATTCTTTTGTCTGTATCTGTATGTGCTCTTTTTGAATATATGAAAATCATCTGGCAGGAAGTTAAGTGTGTAGGTAGATGGCTGGTTTTGTTCTGTTTATTCCCTCTGCCTACCCAATGTTTTCTATGATCTTTGGTAGGAGTCTGTGGGTGCTCAGTGCTTCTGAAGACTGAGGTATGTTTAAGGCTTCTAGTTTTGATCTAAAAACTTGTTTTGCTTTGCAGAGCTCTACGGGGTGTTTATAGCTAAAATTATTCTTTTTGGGTATGTGACCCGTTTGCGAATTGTCAAGTATGTTTGTAGCACAGATCATTGTTTTTGAAGCTGTCTTTTAGGGGCTCTGGCTCACCTGATAAGCAGGATGGGATGGAACTCGGGATACATCATCCAGCTGTGGTAACTACAGCCAGGACTTGCACACTGGAAGTGCTTACCCTTAAAAGGGAAGAGCAACTAGAAAGAGAGGTGTCATCATGCTCCTACCTGTCAGTACCTTGAGGAGATCTATCTGTTGATTACTATTTGATCTATTTGAAATTTGATTTCTGGGATATAGAACACAACATATGTTCCATTTTGTATCTGTCTGTGGTTTTTGTAGAGTTCATTGCATGTTGTCTGCACTAGGAGATCCCTGGAAGAAAGGAACATGTTTCAACTTGCAGTATTCAACACTCTTGGTGTATCTATTCCTGTTGATAATAGTAGCTTCTCCAGAGAGATGGTAGAGCTTATTTTTAAATCATGTCTAGGTGAAGTGCCTCTTGTTGGTCTGCCTGCTCCAAGAGATATCAATGGGATGCACAAATTCTTGGTACTTACTAGAAGCCTCAGAATAAAAGCTACCTGCTTAACCATTAAAGTAAGCTGTATTTTTGAGACGTGGCTTTCTCATATGAGCTGCAGTAAATCTTTAAAAGTAACTTCTAGTATTATGGTTATTTAAACAATTAATGAGAACTTTCTTCAGTTTCTTCTAAAACAAGGTAGCTGGTACATTTTATGCATTGTGCATTTATGAAACAGCAAACTTCAAAGCTTTTACTTTCTTTCAGTTTCACAGAAGGAACTGTGCATCTTTATTTTGAGCCTTCATGCAAAAATTAACTTTAAGGTTGAGTTCCAGAGTAGCATGAGTCTGAAAGGGCTCAGTATAAATACGAGACTTTTTCACTTTGAACTTTTGTCTTATCAAATGTGAGTTTTCCAAATTTTCTTCATCTGCTTCGGACTGGGTATGCCATTGTTGCTGCCTTGTGGTGCCGTGCCCCGTGCGATGTTGCACTGACTGAAAGCTTATCTCATTGTTCACATTCACTTCCTCATAGGACACGTGCCTAAGTAACAGCTTCAGCTTTATCTTGCTAGATTCAATTTCTGATTGTATGATATGTTCTTTATGTCTGGAAGTGAGTTTTTTAAATGTTAGCTTTAGCTAACCATGGATTTAATTAAAAATCCATCGTAGCACATAGGTATGTTCTAGGTGTAATCTGCACATGAAAAATTTAAAGTATTTACATCCATATTTTACAAGCAGACTTTTACCTGCTGTGTTTGCATTTTATGCCAGGAAGGAAGTAAAAACCCTCTATAAATACAGACAATATTAAATGTTTTGGGGGTTCAGGAGATCAGTTGTGTAGCAGAATATTAACCAGGGTTGGGCTGTGTATTTTGACTGACTTGTAACTTAGAGGTGTGTCTTTTGAAAAGCAGCAATAAAGAACCAGTGGGAAGAGCAAATAAATGTATGAATTTGCCAGTCAGGCAGTGGCAGAAGTTCATTTGTGGCAGTATTGTAAGTATTTGTCCGTCTGGAAAACATTAACGTGTTAGTATTTCAAATATGGTAAAGATGAACTGCATGCGAAGGAACATTTTTAACAAAGTTCTTCTGTGCTAATTTGGTCAGGATATTGGTGAAACTATTGTATTTGAGATGTATGATATTTCTAAATCTTAAGGAGGCAGTATTTTAGGCACTTAAAATCCTTAGTCTAGGAAATATGTGTATGTAATGTACTTAATTTTAACATTGTTCGTGATTTTTTTTAACCTGGAGTTCTGACAGCATTGATATCTGTAATATGTTTTAAATCATGTTAAGAAGATTGCTCTTTGTAATAAAAGAATGTTTTTATTAATTAAATTTGCAGATAGTCATCAGAAGAATGGGTATAGAGAGGGAGAAGGGTGAAAATTACCCATTCAGCATGATAGTTGAGAAATGCAAGACTTTAGTTTTTAATGTTCTAGTGCAAAGTTCTTATGTTTACCAGTTGCTTCCTTTTCTGATGTTTTTAGTCATTTTGCTGGTTTCCCTTAAAAAACAAGAGCTCTAGTTTTACCTATTCTATCTTGCTAATATTTTGACTCTTTTATGTACTGTAGAAATTAAGTGAAGCATTTTCCTGGGTTTCACTACAGGAAAAAGTAATTTGGAAACATTTGGGGCTGTGTTTTGCTGTTTTGTCAGCCCTTGTTTAAATAATACTACATACTTTGATAGTTTTGAGGACTTGAGGACTGTCTGACAGTTTCTTGAGACCAGTTTAAGCCAGATTAAAAAAAAAACAGTTAAGAATAGTTTTCCTGTGTAAGTGTGGTTAGAGGAAGCAGGAAATATCAATGTGTTAGAGGAAATATCAGCATTGTTGCAATGTGTTAGTACACTATGGTTCACATTTGTGTGAGAATGAGCAAAACTGTTTTGTTGTTTGTTTGTTTTTTAAGTCAGGGAAAAATTGATCTGCTATTTCTACATAAAATTTAAATAAAGAATCGGCTACTCCTTATTTTGAGGGTAAGGGGTGCCCTCATGTGGTAGAAGTTAAAATTGAAATTCTCCTGTTCAGATTTTAAGCTCAGATTTAAAACACAGAGAATTGTGAGCTCTAATTATTTAAGAGCTTTTTCGAATGAATATTTAGGGGAATCTCATATTGTAAAAATCACAGCCTTACCCTGGAATGTCTGAGTGCACACAACTGGGCACAAGAAAGACGAGTGCATGGTTTGGTTTTGTTTTTTGTTTTTCCCTGAAATCTTCAAAGGACACCAAAGGATTAGGGCTGTGACTTCACTTGATCTGAACTCTGATGTTGTTGCTGTTGTCTCTCACATAGGTGATGTGCAGTTCATAGACTATGAGTACTCTGGATACAACTACCTGGCTTATGACATTGGAAATCACTTCAATGAATTTGCAGGTAAGAATCGGATTTCTGAGGTAAAGTTTGACTGGTTTTATGAATTAAAACCCCCCCACCTACCTCATTCTTGCACATTCTTTGTCTGTTTATCTAAATGCATGTTTACAGCTGTCAGCTCAGAATATGTTGTCTCGTTTTGCAGGCCAGTTATGCCTTTCCTTTGCAACTCTGCTAAGCCAGAAATGGCAATGTCATGTCCTGTGTGCTGGTAGAATTAGATAAATACAGAACCCACAGCTTTCCCAGTGTCCTTCTGTGAAGTGACACAGCAGAGACAGTAATGAAATACTGTGGATGTCACTCCATAGGTATATATTGAGAATACTCTCTGTGGTTCCACAGTGCCAAAAGGCAGGATTGTCTGGTTTTTTGTTGGTTTGAATGGGTGTGCTAAGTACTTGCCCTGTCCTAAAATGAGAGGTAAAGGTAAGACTGTCATAGGAAAAAGGTGGGATTTCAGGAATAAGATGTTTGTAGACTCATTTATTATCTAGTTCAAATTTTGTCAGTGAATGCCCATTCCATTTATTCCATAAGGGAGAAATAACCTCAAGTGTGTGCTGTGGTGTTTCAGAGCATGGGACAGCAGTGAAAATCTACAGATGGAAAGCACAGTGTGGTGAAATTAGGAGCATTAATCTACCAGTCATTTCACAATGTGAAGTTTAGATAACTTAAAAGGATCGGGATGTGTACGTGGTAACATAAGTTGTGTAATTGGTAATTTAAATATTTGGAAAGCAAGTTAAATTCTTTTACCAAGTATAAATTGAAAGCATTTGATTTTTGTCTTGCACTTCTCAAAGTCTTACATCAGTAAGAAGACTAAATGCACAGATACATTTTTTTACTTATGAAGAACGGTTGTGCTTCACTTTAACTCTCCATCCAGTAAAAATCGTAATTATGTTTTGAAGGTAAATTTGAGTAGATCTGACATACAAAAAAGTTTAGGTGCTAGGGGATTGCACTGTTCGTAGTATAAGACTCGAGGAGAATTCCCAGATCCCTGGAGAGTAATAGTGAGAGTGAGCTGTGATCCAGGTTTGGGGCTCCTGCCAGTTTCCCTATGGCCTGTGACTAAGCATTGCCAGTATAGGAAGAAAAACAGGATAAAAAGGGGTTACAGAGATAAGACTTCTAATTCCACCAAACCCTGTGGAGGAGAAAGACAGACTTGTAGTAAATTTTCATCAAACATGAGCTTAGTTAGTGACAACTGGATATGCATCTGGACTCAGCTTGGGATGTTGTTGCATACAAGTGCCTTTTCCTACAAAATATGTAATATTTGTTATATTTGAACTGCAAATACTTTTTCTTGAAGCTTCTCTCAAAGCCCAAGTTGTTGAATCTCGGCCTACAAGTAGCCTCTAGGTGGCTGAAAACATAAATCAGATGTTGAACACTCTGATTTGTGTGTGGGAAATTCTTGACAACATGTAACTGATAAAGTCAGGTCAAAGTAAAAATGCTGATGTTTGTCTACAGCAATTTGTGCTTGTGTGTTGGAATGGGAAGGGGGAAGTAGTCTAGTAATGGACTTTTAAACATAGAGAATTGTAAGCTCTAATTATTTAAGAGCTTTCTTCAATGAATATTTAGTGGAATCTCATACTGTAAAAATCACAGCCTTACCCTGGAATGTCTGAGTGGACACAGCTGGGCACAACAAAGACAGGTGCACAAGAAAGAATGGTAGGTACTGAGGACATGTAATGGTCTTTTTAGGCTACAGAAGGTTCTAATAGGTATTTTTTTCTTTTCTAGGAGTAAATGAAGTAGACTACAGCCTTTATCCTAACAGAAAATTACAGGAACAGTGGCTGAGATCTTACCTTGAGGCCTACAAAGAATATAAAGGATTTGGCACAGAAGTCAGTGAAAAAGAAGTTGAAGTTCTGTATGTCCAAGTCAATCAGTTTGCACTGGTAAGTAACAAACACTTGATTAGACACATTATGGACAAATGTAATTCCAAGTTTCTTAATCTGAGTGCTGTGGCACGTAAAGAATAAAGAGAAGCTTCTGTTAGAAGTAGAAGTTTCCTTCCACTTGCTGTTTAAAAATTGTCTGTAGAATATTCCCAGTGAAAGAAGCACTGGGCATTCAGAAAAGGAGGAGATGAGCTTTTAGTGAGTATTTCTATTGGCTGTTTATTGGTCTGGCAAGTTTGAGTTGGCCAGAGCTTATGGTGGGTCTGTATTGAACTTTTGTTTGTAGTGGTAAGAAAACAGAAGAGCAAGTTCATAAAGGCAATTTTTAAAAGCCTTTTTAAAATAAGATGATAAAATTCTGTCAGAGTAAAACCAGGATATTTTGATTTTTATTTATTTATTCTGTTGCAGATAATTAGGTCACTCTAGAATCTTTCAGTACTGACTTAACTTTCCTTACCTGAGTGTCTCGGCAAGAAGGGAGTTGCTTTCAGATTTGTTTTTTATCGCCTTTAGTGGTTTAAATTGTAGCAAAGTGCACATGGAGTCAGTCTCCTGGTTCCCCAAAGTTCTAGAGAGAGGGCTGTCTGTATGAGTCTGCTTCCTGCTCCTCCAGTATCTCTGTGCATTATAAGCTGTTTCCTCTCTGTCAGTCTGTCTTCTGCAGACTTTGGATGTAACAGCTTCAGTCTCTTGTTCTTTCCCTTTGAAAGGATGGAGCCTGTTCAATTTTGACCTGACTTTGGTGCCCTGTCCTTCAGGAAAACAAACCACATCAAATGTAATTCATGGAGGTAGAATAAGTAAAGTCACATAGGTGTGGAATTAAATCTTTGAATGTCATGAGGATATATACTGTTAGAAGCAGTTTGAAGTTGTCTTTCTCTTTTTCTAAGCTTTATCTTTGTGTGATTTCTTAACAGATACTTTAGAGGTTCACATAATTTTTGTTTTTCAACTAGCCCTGATCTTGTTTTGCCTAGAAGATGTGATTGGAAATGTTACAACAAAAGTTGCCTTTATTTTGTTTTCTCCTCAAGAATAACATGGCAAACTGTTTGTATGAGGACTAAGTCTAAAGAAGCCGCTCTAGCCTTATTTTAGTTCTCTTTCCTACTGATCCAAACACTTCTGTAATACTCTGTTTTCTGGCAAAAGCTAATGGTTGCAGTGAGGAAATACAGTTCACAAGGAAATGATTATTTAACAAGTCTTTGAAAATAGCAGCTTGTTTGGTGCAATTCTTTTAAAATGTCAGCTGTTACTGTTAAACTCAGCTGTCCCATTTATTTGGGAAGGTTAGAGCTGCAGTTAAGTAGGCTGGTGGTCTGTTTTAAAATATATAGCGTTGTTTTGTCAGTTTTAAATGATGGTCACAGTAAAGTTTAAGAGGATAGAGTTGTGTTTAGAGAACAGCTCAAGGCTTGCCTATAGACCACACATGATGCTCAAATACTGTGTGACACTTGTGTCAGTTCGTGTGGTAAGCTTTGCTAAGAGAAAACATGACTTAATGGATGCTGATGTACAATGCTGAACTGCTACTCTCTGGCAAAGTTATCTAAACTAGAGATACAAGATTCACGTGGACATATATTAGTTACCATGTTAAGGTGCTTTTGGGTGCATGTGCATTTTTGTGCCTTCTAAGCTCCTGGTCAAGTGTTACTTGCAATCTTTGGGAAGCTATTTAGGTAATTACTGTAAGCAGTTATTCAGTGAGGTTTGAAGTCTGTAACTTGTAACCTGGGTGGTCCAGAGACATCTTCCACAAGGAGACTGTCATGACCATTACATGTTGGTTTGGGGTATATTAATGATCAAATCACTAATGGTTTCGTTCTGAAAGTGAACATGGAAGTAAGTTTGGAACAAATGAGAAGTTTGTGTAAAGGCTGATGAGTTAAAGGTTTTCTTACAGCACTTCATATCATCTTTGTCCAAGTCAGCAGTGAAAGTGTGTGCAGTTGTAGAGATCTAAGGGTGTAGTCAAAGATTCCAAAGGAATTTCATACTTGTACTAGATTTGAATAACTGTGGAATAATATATATTTAATTAGCAGCAGTAGATAAGACAGTTGAATTTGTGTGCATTTTTAAAGTGTGGTTTATATAGTTGTACAACAATCTGCTTAATAGTTGACCTATTTTATAAATGCAATATTATTTTTCTTGAAAATGACACGTGGAGAGTTACGAGTCCAATAGCTTTACTTGTAACTCTGATTGCCAGTAGTTTGTTCTATAATAGTGCTTATCAATCTGTTTGGTAAAGAGATATCAAATAACTTTAGAAAAGGTTTGTGTTTTGAGTGCTCTTCTGTAGGTAACCTTCTGTCTCAATGTGAGAATATGTCTCCACGTTGGATTGGAAATGAGGTTAATTTTTCACCGATAAATTTTTTTCCTTTTAGGCTTCCCACTTCTTTTGGGGATTGTGGGCTCTAATTCAAGCCAAATATTCCACCATTGACTTCGATTTTCTAGGGTAAGTGTGCTTGCTATGTATGAACATGGAATATTGGGGGCTGAAGGGAATCTGTAAGGCCATCTACTCCAACACCCCAGCTATCAGAAACTGAGACCTGAGAGACAGACCTAATCTATGTGGTCATACAATGACATCTTTCAGAGAAAACAGGATATTAAAAGCTGTCTGTGCTTTTTGTTGCTGAAAGTTCTCTAATTAGTATGTGCCCCTGGATTAAAACTTATGGTATAAGAAGGCAAGGAACACAATGTTTTGGGGCATTGAGTGCTTTTTTTTATTGAAGAGACAAAGGCTTAAAAGCCAAGTAGGTCAGTGAGGTGTGCTGTCTGTCAGATCCAAGACCTCCATTTTCAACTGCAGGAGTCAAAGAAATGATATTCTTGTAGTAAACAAGCTTTTTTGTACTGATTGCATGGAGTGTTGATCCTGGAAACCCCTGCTATTTTTAAAGAGTTTTTGTAACACTGATGAATGTTAAGACCTGTTTCCTGAGGTGCTGGCCAGGGTTGTTCTGTTTCAGGTGGATAGATGTGTCTTTGGCATTTTTTTAAATGATCTTTTATGGCAACAAGCAGAGGAGTTCACTTCTCCAGTGGGGCTTGCATGAGGTGATAAAAGTAGTCATTTTTTCCTGGTAAAAGATCCCCCTTTGGAATTTTTTTGTGGTGACTGAGCCAGTTTGCTGGGCTTAGTTGTGTCATTTTGTCAATAAGACCACTCTGGGTTCCTGTGACTGATTATCTGCTGCAGCAGTACCCGTGAGTCACCACGAGATGGCGCGACAAACTAAGAGAAAACACGGGTCATAGAACCCCGAAACTTGTCAGCTTTGAATAAAATGCCATTTTTGTAATAATCGAGATCAGATTTCTGTGGGATTGTAGTTGGACAGTCCATTAAGAACAACTAAAACCACAGCCACTACCTTTGGATAATACCAGAACAGCATCTGTTTTGCAAGCTGGGAGTGGGGTGAGGAAGTACCGGAACATTGATGTACTGTTCTGAATTTCTTCCTTTGGCAACTGCTAAGGGTCAGTGTTGGAAACAGGGTCCTAGGATTGATGGTCTTTTGACTAGCCCTATTTAGCTTGGCTGTTTTCATGTAAGGAGTTACCTGCTCTTAACTTGGACTCTCTCTCTCTCTCTCCCTTTCAATAGGTATGCAATCGTTCGGTTTAACCAGTATTTCAAAATGAAACTGGAGGTCATGACGTTAACTCTTCCTGAGTAACGAAGAGGAGGACACTTACCAAGTGGATGGACAACCCCTGGATCTTTTCTGAGAACAGATACTGGAAAAAAGCTAAACATTTGTTGAAGTGCTGTAATGCTCACTTGGTGGTTCTTGCTTTATAAATAATGCCTCTAAACAGTCCTTCAATGTTAAATTTAATATGAAGAGCATACGTACTGCTGTTGATATAAAACGGATTAGAAACTTGCTAAATCTATAAAAAGTTGTAGAAATGGCAATTTAATCCTTCTTTGTAATTTAACATATGTTGTATGTGAATTATTTATTATAAGTTTAACATGATTCCATTGCTGCTTTCATCAGTTTTTGTTCAAGTTGGGTGCAGACAGTGAAGTTGTTCCAAAGGATTCATTTAACAACTTGTTTTATTGAAGATGCATTAACTTATGCTAAAGAAGACTTGTCAGAGAATATTACCCTTTTAAGATGTGTACGAGCAAAACAAGTGACAATAGACTTGTGAGAACTCCAGTGTAACTAGGGAGAATGGTTAGGACTGTCTTTTTATTTTTCCCTTTTTTTTTTTAAAGAAAATGGTAGCTTTCCATATGATGGTAATTTTTTTTTTTTTTTTTTTTTGCACAAGAATCAACCAGCTTGCTGAAATGATAATTAAAGTTTTGATTTTTTTTTTCTTCTTGATGTGTTAAGCTGTAGAAATGTGAAAGTTCTGTGGCTGTAAGGTTCTCTGAGGGCATGTACCATCTGTAACTTCTGTGTGAAAGCTGCTTTTTTATTAAGTGTACTCTTGAAAGCAAAAGACCACTATTCCAAATCTATATTCCTTTTTGAAACTTGATTCTAAATTTGAACACTATTCTGGTGTCTGTATTTGATGTGCTTCAGTAGGATCTAGTGGAACAGATGTTGAACTGGAGACAAGTGAGCAGAGATCCTGTTGCACTGGGGAGCAAGACACAGGTTTACAGTTCATATGTTGTTGACATCTTTCTGCTTTGTCATCTTCTAACCTTGGATTCTAAGTCTTAAATGCCTGGTCCTGTAGCTGTGCTGATTTTGGTGTGTCTGGTGATTCTTTTTTTCTGTTAGCAAATTGCTTTTCGAAGTCTCCAGTTTGAAGGACAGTATGGAAAAGTGTATGACTTGAGCAACTGGGCTTTGATCATCACACACACTTTCTTATTTCTTAAAGCTATTATACCAAGAATGGTCTGGATTACAAAATGTGAATTGAAAAGACAATGTTTACTTAATGGGACAATGTATAAGTTTGTGTGGAAAAGAGGCTTTAACTCTGAAAGGGGGGGTGGGGTGGGGGGGGGACATGAGAGGGGAAAAGACCCACAACAGGAAAATCAAACTCACCAGTGCAGTGTGGAGCTGGGCAGGCACAGTCTGATGATACTCTGAAAAACTTTGCACTTTGGTCACATAAGTGCCCACATGTACAAAGTCTGTGCGTGTGCAAGTACACGTGCAAACACAAACTTACCTGAAGAGTAAATATTACGGGGAGTCTGTTGTACAGACTCCAGCAAAGATATTTATTCAAAGTTGCTTTATGGCACACTGCTGTGTGTGTATGTGTGTATCATGTGTACACACGTATATACATATGTGCTTTACAAAAGCTTGGATTGATCCAGGACAAAGAAAATTCATGTGAATGAAAAATTTTCACCTTTAAAGACCATTTCGAATGGCATTCTGTTCTTTTACAAAAGCACGGTTTAGGATTTTTTTTTCCTCCTATTTATATTCATCTCTGAATGTTTCAGTTTGTTTTTTTTTTAAATTTTCTTCAGTCAAAACCTTAAAAATTCTTACACAAATGGGAGAACTGGGATTTTTTTTTTTTTGTAACTTGAACTGAGGTAACCATTTTCATTAGCTGGAGGCTACTATACTGGACAAACTTTCTTTGTAGTTGAAACAAATAACTAAAATAGACATTTATAATTTACCTTGTAGCAGTTATCAAGGATGTTGCTAGAGCTCATGAAGGCACTGAAGACCTTGATCTTCTGTACTTTCTCCCTGTGGACATTATTGACATACGGTGAATAATACCCTGCTGTCTTGTATTTCCTTTATGTTCAGCAAGGTGTGCTTGGAAGTAAGACTGATAAAGATTTCTGAACTCTTATTACTATTTTCTTCCAAGCAGTGGCTTTATTTCTGACAGTGTTGCTTTGTATTTATGACATATTTGAAAGAAGGCAGCGAAGTTCACTTGGTCTTGGGAAATCCAACACTTGACAGATCCCAAGTTTCCCAATGGCTTGCAAGACACATTCCCTTTTCAGGTACCAGTACTACTTGGATTTGGAGTTAGTGTAGTTTTTGTTGGTAATATTTTTGTTTGTATAGCTCAAGTAGCAATAACTGTAGAAGTGGAAGTTTGCTTCTGCAGAACCAAAGCTTTTCCTGAGTGCAGCTCAGTCTCATCCTTGTGAAGTTCCACTGAATCCCATAAAAGCACTTTGAAACAGGTAGTAAATACTCCCAAGCTTTTCCTGAGCCACTTAGAAGAAGCACAAGGACTGTCACAGGTTACAGTGGTTGACTTTGCAGTCGTGGTAGAAGATTTAATTTTGCACGTTGAAATTAATTTTACACACTTAAACGCTGCTTTGCATCAGCTCTCCTTCAAGACAAGTGCAGATTAAACCAATTTGTGATCAGTTCTGAGGAAATACTGTAAAACATCTCCCAAAAGGAAATGCCAGTTACCTTGAGCCTTGTTCCACATCCGTTTGAGCCAGTAGCACTTGGATATTCTCGCTTGCTGAGGAATATCTACTGGTGCATTAAGTTTGAAGCAGTAGTTTGCAATGGCATTGCAGATAAGGTAGCTTGAAACTGTGAATACAGGACATTCTGAATGTAAGTTAGGTACTAGAGAACATGTACTTGTTTCAATTAATTTATCTCAGTCTCTGTAATAGCAACATAAGGATATTTGAAGGAGGACAACAAAATGACTGAGCTCTAGAAACATCCTGTAGTAGTTTTGACTGTGACTTGCCAAGAAGATACTCTGTTGCCTTTATGTTAAGCTAAGGGCATGAATGCCAAAATTAATAATTCTTGCTGTAGTTAAGCCTATACTGTAAATATAAAGAGGATTATTAGTAACGGCATTCTTGCAGAAATAGCATCAAGTCAATAGACCGTAGTGGCCTGGTTGCTTTTGTAAAGCAGAATAGTGTGAATTTTTTTCTTCTCATTTCTGCAGTCAGATCTGGCTAATCCAGGCCTGATTTCATAGGTCACCCAAACACTAAAGATTTCTGAACAGTACCTAGTCTCCTATCACATAATTTTAAATACCTTCATTTACACTTGTTTTGCATTTTAAAAGGACATACCAAATTTGCATTAACCAGGTCTGACTGTACGTGTATATACAACAGTGTAAATAACCATTTGTAAATTAGTGTGAATTGTACTGTATCTTGCATTTATGGACTTGTGTATTGCATTGTATTCTCTCCTATTTTGTAGAAATTTTGATGTAAAGAAGAAATCTTAATTCTGTGTGCGGACTTCTTTTGTTAAATTGACCTGTAACACAACATAATAGTTTTATGTTAAGGTATCCATTTATAGCCTTGGGCATCCAGGGTCTTTTTTTCCCCCTGTTAGCTTTTTTGACAACTTGCTCTTGGGAATGATTCTGGGAATAAAGGAATTTATACAGTACTTAGATTAAGAGAAAATCTGTTCTAATAATAGGGCAAACCATGCATCAGAGGTACATGTAGTACCTGTGGGATAGGGAAAGCCTTTAAAATTGTTTACCTAAACTTCCAAAAGTTTCCTATACGTTTTTGAATGCTGGTGACTTCAAAACATAAGTGTGTTGAATTGAAGCACTCCTGAAATGTGTGCTCCCATGGGGACAGTGGTTGAGGTAGTTGTGATAGGAGTCCCCCAACTTAAATATTTTTGTGGATAGAGCCTTATTCTAGGATTAGTTCCTATGTTGTAAATGCTTATACTGAGTGCCCAAATCACTAAAATAGTTCTACCAGTCAATTTTTGTCAATGCTAGAACTACTGGTACTCCTTTAGACGATCTGAAACTTAGCTGAGGTATTTTCCCTGTGTGCCACTCCCTCCCCTGCTTCTCTGTGCTCACAACCCTGCTTCATTAGGGTAAACATGAATATAAAACTTCTTTCCATACTTAGCCATCACTATTTCCTTTTTGGACTAAATTTATATTCTGTTTTGTCAGTACATTTCATCAGAAATTTTTTTGTATAGGAAGTCCCTTTCTGAAGAGGCCTTTAACCTTGGAAACATAGACAATGAAGCAATGTTTTTTTCCCTGACTGTATTTCGTCACTGTTGCCTTTCACTGTCTATTTTGAACCCCATAGTGCCCTTCAAGCTGTTAGTTTATTCTCTTCACTGGTGTTTAACTGTGCTGGAAAATGCTGTGCAAATCTCATACTCCATCTGACAAATTGATCTTGATACAGTTTGTACAACGTGTCAGCCTTACCTGTGCATATCAGTGGTGACACTTCAGATTACCAGGGTCCTGGGAAGTGAGTTTATCCAAGAAGTACTAGTCAAGAGGAGGGATGGGCTTGGTAAATGTAAGTAAAAGGAAATCATTCACATGGAAACTCAAGCTTCAGCTTTTGGTGTAGCAAGGTATTGTTTATGCTTGTTTACTTGCATGGTTTAAGGACAAGAGCAAATTGTAAAGGGTAAAGTTTGCTTCAAAATAAAGTTCAGATTTTTTTAAAGCCTTAGGTAGCTAACAGAAGCTTACAAAATACTGTTTTGTTACTCTTACCAAAAGAAATCTTAAATTTGGGTAACTTTTTGATTAAATAAAACTTTGTTCTAAAACCCAGTGGACTATAATCTCTTGCTTGGAGCAGTCCTTCCTGTAGTTTGCACAGGAGGTTGACCACATCTTACCTTGTCTGTGTTTGAGGTGTCTGTGTGTCCTTTGTGTTAATATTTTCTGTTATTGTGTTCTAAGTTGTGCTAGATTGCTAAACTACTGGAATTGGGAACTATCTCCTATCATCTTCCACACCAGACAGGTTGTAATCACAGTAGTAGAGCAAAAAGCATTTGATCAAACCTTGAGTTAAAAGCAAGGCTGATGTGGAACGGTCTTGCAGCTGATTTTTTTTACCCTTTTTTTATGACTGTGGGTGGCAAGATGATAGTTTTCAATAGTTGTGAAAGATATGAAAAGCCACGACCTCTGGTCTTGTGCAAGTAGGTGTTCTGTTAGCCACACACAGCCTTTAAGAGAGGGTCTCTCAGCAGTGGGAAACCACACCATTCCAGATGGCTTAAACCACTTTGGGGCTTAGAAACCTTGAGCGGGAAGGAAAATGTGTGAAAATGTGTTTGCACAGGTCAGTTGTATGAAGGTGCTCCATCCAGGTGATGGAGTGAGATGCTGGAAAAGGCATTGTTTGATTGATTTGTTTGTTTGTTTGTTTTTCCCCCACTTCTCCCCCCACTCCTTTTTTAAGTGACTTTTCCATTTGGTCTGATTTATAGATATTGTGTGATTAGGAAACCAGTCAACCTGGGATGGGGGAAGAGGGAAGAAATGGTTCAAAAAATAATAATTTTTAAAACGCACCAAAACCCCATGTAGTTGATTAGTTGGCAACACTGTGTGCTGGGCTTTTGTCTGTATTTAATAGTGTGGGTGGTGCTCTGCACCAAATTCTTTAAGAAAGGGGTTTATTATGATTGTGAAATGTCAGAAAATTGACTGGAATGGCCCTCAAGCCTGTTGGGATCTTGGATGGCCAGACTTCACCAGATCACCAAATTTCTGGTTCAAGGTTTTACACTTGCTGTTTCTGCAGCCTTCTGAGCTGCTGTTGTGGTTTCCCCCTGATGTAGAACTTAATTCACGGACTTTGCAAATATGTTTGATTTGATATTTATAGAGAGATGTCACAGAGGGAAACTTCATGGAAATGAAAAGTTGTGTGAACATTTAGAAAGCAAACAAGTTACTTAAAATCTAGCAAACTTAGACAAAAAATGCTGAAATAACTTCAAGTCCTGCACCAACCTATTTTTGTGGCATTGCAGGTGCAGTTTTCCTCTGTTGAGTGGTTTTTTTTTTTCCCTACATAGAGACCCATGCAAAACACAAAGTGAAAGAA